CTATTCTATCAAAAATGAGAAGAACGCGCTCTCAACCCTGGTGGAATCCTGACTTGCGAAGTAAGAAGCGGGCGATACAAGGACATCAAAAAATCGTCGCTCTGAAAGACAAGGAAGGACCGAATAGAAAACAAAGGAAAACCCTCCAGAGATTACTTGGAAAATTGAGACAAATGAATTCTGACTATGCAAGGGCTATTAAAAGAGCCAAAAACAACAGCTGGCGAGATTTCTGCACCATTGAAAGCGAAAAGAATGCTTGGGCGTACCCATACAAACGAGCATCCAAAAAAGTCAGAATCTCAAAAGCGATGTGCACGGTTAACCGTAATGGTTCAGTCACAAAAGACTAGAAGGAAACAAGCATGGCTCTACTAGAAGGACTAATGCCTGATGACGACCCAAGCTGCGAAAATGTTGTACATACAAAGATTCGCAGAGATATGCGGGAGGTTCCAGTAACCGGCGACGCAACGCCTTTCCTAAAAAGGGAAGTTGAAATGGCCCTTAAAGCGAACAAGGCAGGGAAATCACCAGGCAAAGATAAAATAGAGTCAGAAATGCTTGTTAACGCAAAACCATTACACCAGGAACTGACGCGACTTTTCAACGCCTGCTTAAAATGCGGAGTGTTCCCCAGAAGATGGAAAAGTGGAATGCTAATCACGTTGCTCAAAGGGGTTGAAAAACCCGAGAACGAGATTAAATCATATAGACCCGTATGTCTACTCCCCATAGCTGGGAAGACACTCGAGAGGCTTGTGATTCAAAGAATATCCAACATTTTTAACAGCTCGGACTGGTCTTCGGAGGATCAATTTGGCTTTAAGGCAAACAGATCCACAGAGAATGCCATCAGAAGACTATATGAAATAGTAGAAGAGGCAGAATCTGATCCGTCGACAAAGTACGTAGCCGCTATTCCACTGGACGTCTCAGGAGCATTCGATGCCTTATGGTGGCCAAGCCTGCTCTCCCAATTGAAAGAAAGAAACTGCCCGAGGAACATCTACAAACTCCTCCAGAGTTACTTTAGTGATCGAGAAGTGGGCATATATGCTCACTTCGAAGAAACACTGAAAACAGTAACGAAGGGATGCCCTCAGGGTTCAGTATTTGGACCGGTAGGTTGGAACGTCATCTTTGACAAACTACTCCGGGCAATCAGGGACGCAGGATACGAAGTACTAGCCTACGCAGACGATGTGCTTCCCATTATTAAGGCAAAGACGAGCATTGATTTTGAAAGACAAGCCCAAGAAATCATTAATGATAGACTGGTGCAAGTCTGACAAAATGAAATTAGCAGTAGAAAAGTCAGCACTAATATGGCTAAAAGGCCAACTAAGCGACAATAGGAACCCTACAGTCAAAATTGGGAAAGACAACATTAGAACGCACAAAACAGTCAAGTACCTAGGAATCACAATCTCGAAAGGCTTCCGATTGGAAGAACATATTCGAAACGTGATTCAAGACTGCAATAGCACCTATTTCGAGCTAAGTAAAATAGCAAAAGTAAACTGGGGCCTAAAATTCAATTCTATGAAAGAGATATATAATGGCTTCCTACTATCGAAAGTTACATATGCCGCTGCGGGCTGGTGGCAAAGAACCAACATCAAACAGCAATCTGCTTTAGAAAGATTGCAACGATCGGTTCTTTGCAAAACACTCAAAGTCTACAGATCGATCTCTCATGAAGCGACGCACGTGCTTGCAGCCTCCCGACCGATAGCTCTAGAGCTTGACGCGAGAGTTGCAAAGTACTGCGTCAAGAAAGGGAAATCGATTAAAATGCACGGCATCCGAATTAAATCGGAGGAACTTCGATCGGGCAGACTAAAAATCTCGAAAGCCATACAACTCATCAACGATGAAATCGAAAGGGTATGGCAGGAGAGATGGCAGTCAGCCACAAATGGCAGGAGAACGTACTGCTACTTCCCAGTAATCAAGGACAGATTAAAGAAGAGGTGGCTAAATCCCAATCACTACACAGTCCAGTTTATGACTGGACATGGCGCTTTTAAGTCATACCTCCACAAGAGAGGACTATGCGAAGACCAACTGTGTAGCTGTGGTGAAATAGAAAGCGAAAGTCATATTCTCTTTAACTGCCAAGATATAAGGGAACTAAGGAAGCCATTAATAGAGGCCGTCGAAGAGGAGGGTCATACATGGCCTTGCTCGGAAACGGCCCTAGTATCTAGCAGGAAAATCTACAAAGTCTTTGAAGACTTTGCTAGAAAAGTCATAGAGCCCAGAGAGGGAGCACCTATAACAAAGAGAAAACGCAGAAAAATAGTCACGAACTATGGTAGAAAGACGCCGTCTCTTACAAGGTCCCTAACCAAAGGACAAAAACTCCCACAATAACCTAATTTTTGAACCCAGACAAGCTTATAAAGCTTGAAATTTTTGAAAGATAATTTTTGAACATCAACTTCAGAACTAAATTCTGAAGCTTGAATACTTGAACGCGAATTACCCCATTTAACCCAACGACGAAGTTTTGAACCGAATGCGTAGCATGACCCGCAAGAATACTGAAAACTGCCTGGAGAGTCGCCTTGTCGGCTAGACGAGACCCCTCCCTGACTCATAAGTCAAAACAAAAATCGAAAGAGCAAACATTAGTATCAGCCAGTCATGAAAATCACTCCTCAAAAAGCAAGGCCCGAAGTTAGAGCAAAAACTGGGAAACAACCTTTCGAATGACGGATACCCACCAGCGTGAGCGGGTTGACCGAAACGCAATGGGAAGACGTGCCTCGGTATTATTTTCAACCGCGGACTGTCGATAGCGGGAGGCGGTTGCAATCACGACGCTCTCAGGAAGCTCGATTATAATCCGCTTAGCAAAAACATAGATGATACACATAATGCACCATATGGCCAGCCTCGCGGCTGGCCAGGTCACTTTGTGCAAAAATCTTTTGTTAAAGCGGCGGACAGTAATTGTCTTCCTAAACAGAGAACGGAGACTCCTCAAACAAACAATTCGTTGTTTTAAGAGAGGACGTCGTAAACTTCTCTCTTTTGTGTATGGGCATATGCAAATGCTGAAGTACAAAATGCGTCACCTATTGCCCTCGACAAGCAACTAATGCTAGTTGACCCGAAGTGATTGCAATGTGTATTTGAACGATGACTTACAATCACAAGTGCGGATGTGTGTGCCTTCACGTGGTGGGGCTGAAAACGCTGTCTCTGTAAAGAAACAGTAGGCAAAACACACAACACTTGCCCCTAGGGCAAAAGGCCAACCGGCCAAACAAGATAAACAACTCGGACCATGACAACACGTGGTGAGGTGCGGCCTGTAAACGCCCAAACATTCAACGTGGAGTCTACCACACTCGAGCTACACTCGAGCCCACAAAAGCCCAAATCCGGGAGTCACTTGAGGGTAAATCTCTCTGGATTGTGGTACCGCGCGCCCTCTTAGAGGACGGAAGACCGCTCCGGGAACTAGTTGCAGAGGACCAATGGTACTGGCAATCCGAATTTAATTCGGTTAGATAACAAATTACCCCCTATCGACTGGCGATCGGTAGGTGCCACTATTGTGGGTAAATAGTCGCGGCCGTAGTCATAGCAGCCACCCAAAGTTCTTTGCCTCGAGCTCCTGGAGTAAGGCCCGACAACTTTGTATGAGAAAACACAATTTGAACGCTAATTTCGAACGCTAAAACACCTGATTAAAGCCTGGACCTCGGAAATTGATTCGAATGAGTGGCATGACTGGCACGAATATTGAAAACTGCCTGGGGAGTCGCCTTTTTAGCTAGGCGAGACCCTGCCCCTGATCCAAGTTAGAAGATATTAATCGAAAGAGCAGAGATCAATATCAGCGAGTCATAAAATCCTTCCATAGAAAGCGAAATCCGAGACTTAGGCGAAAATCAGGAAACAACTTATTTCGAATAACGGATACCCACCAGCGTGAGCGGGGATGACCGAAACGCAATGGGGAGACGCGCTATGATACGTCGAAGCGATGGACATGTGAGCCGTGGGAGTAATCCCTTAATACAGGTACGCAGGGTGGGATGTTTTGAACGAGAGCCCAGGAGAGGAGGCTTAGCTGGTTGATCGTCTTATGAATTGCCTCTGGCTGTCTTAGCTGGGTCCCTCTTCCGACATCTTAATTTGGGTTGGCCTCTGCGGAGCAGAGGTACCAGGTCAAGCAAATCTCGTAAGATTTGTATGCTGCGCGCTTCCGACGCGGTAGACGTTGGGGCAACTAGAGTCCCGTCGCGCCCAAACCGAGAGTCAAGCCTTTAGTTCCGCTCTCCTTGAGCGTCGAACCGTGAAAAGATCGGTACTCCTTCTTAAGGAGGTCGCCGCCTTAAATCAAAAAGGTTCGACTCGCTGTGTGCGTCAGGAATGTCGTAGCAAACTTGACTTCCGGATCTCCAAGGTAATTGAAAGCGAAAGAGTGAAAGACAGTGGGCTATGCCAACCTATTGGCGCCCGGAGAGAGGGGTGGTAATGTTTGATTACGCTGTGCCACCCTCAAAGCGGAAAAGTGTCAACGACACACATACACTAACTGTAGAGAAGAGGGAAATAAACTCGCATGTGATACTGATTATAATTTCGCGTTAGTAACAACTTGGTTGACTGACTCCCGTTCCCTCCTGCTCTCCGGTTGACGAGTTTGAACGTTTCGACAATCCCGCGCGCTCTTCGATGCGATCGCGCGCATAAATAAAAAGACGGAGCACCGATCCCGTTACAGATTGTATATTTTTGTTTGTTAATAAAAATCTGAGAAGTTAACAATTATTGACGAAACGTCATCAGTACAATAAAGCGAGTGCTGTGTATATATTTTATTAAGAGCTTACTATCACATCTTTGTATATTACTTTTATTTACGACTATGAAGATCTACCATTTGAAGATCAGTAATTAATATTTTGTTTTTTAACAAGTGACTTATTCGACTAAAAATAATATGATTTTATTTAAAAATCAGTTAATAAGGTTAACATAATTGTAAATTTGAATATTCGTTCCCTTAAGTACAAATACAAATACATTATTATATAATTGATTAATGTGCGGTAAAGTTATTGTTTCATTATTTTCAAACTAACTTAGACTCAGATAATCTTGATCAAGTTCATCAAGTGATTCAAGTCTTGCAATTGGCGCTGTATTTAATGGATCTTCTCCATAAATATCTTCGTTACTATAGGATAGGGATGCGCATTTTGGTTTCTGTTGCACGTGATTTAAATTCACAAACGTCTCTTCTTTAAGTGTATTCGGGGTACAAATAACACTGAGTTGCAATAAGTCATTTGATTCATTTTTCACTACTGATTTCGGTATTATAGTGATGGCAGTTGGTCGAGAACCCATTCTGGACAGAAAATGTTGTTGCTGCTCCAATTCAATAGCAAGGGAATAATTGTTCAACTCATCAGCTTTATTGGCGTCCGAAAATTTGTTGCAAAAACTGCATCTACACAGAAAATAAAAATTAAATGTTACATTAGTAAACTTGCCTAAACTCAAAAAGAGAAAGCGACATTGCTAATAATAGTAAAAATAAGAAAATAGATTATCTACATTATAAATTTGGTAAAATAATGGAAAATTTTTATAAAATAATTCTTTAGAATATAATAAAAAATCTCATATCAAGTAGATTCAACTTTTATACGTATATGACTGTGATCGTGAATCATCGACAGATGAGTAGACCTGCCGGGGATATTTGTCTTATGCACAATAAGATGGTAATTCGTACAAAAGTCTTCCATTTTTAGAGAATAGCTCTTATTATCCCAACATGGAATTAAAGCAGTGAAATGTAAAACACTTTTGATGAAACGACATGCTCAGTATATGTACGAGGTCTGTCCGGAAAGTATCGGGCCTACGTTTATATCTTCGCGCCATAGTGTTCGAGCGACCTCTACCAGACAGAAACGTCAACAGTAAAGCCTCACGAATCTATTGATTATTTACTGACACCTGCCAGACGTATAGTTCATACGCAGCGTGTCTTTGTTTACAGTGCCTTTTTCGTGTTCGTCGGATTTTGATATTGTCAAAAATGATTGAAAAACAAGATCAACGAATTTGCATCAAATTTTGCTTTCAACTCGGAAAAACGAGTTCGGAAACTATTTAAATGATGGAAAAGGCCTTCGGAAGCGAGTGTATGAGCAAAACACGAATAAAAGAGTGGTATAAACGGTTCAAGGATGGTCGCACTTCTGTCGATAGTGATTCTCGTTCCAGACGACCTTCGACGACAAAAACCGCAGATAATATTGAGCAGGTGTGACTTGCAATCGAAAAAGATCATCGTATTACTGTGCGAGAACTAGAAGAAGACCTTGGGATACCAAAAACTATCATTTCAGAAATTTTAACCGAAAATTTAGGAATGAAACGCGTGTGTGCGAAATTCATCCCAAAATTACTCACAGCAGAGCAGAAGAACATTCGTTTAGAAATCGCTCTGAACAATCCGGAAATGGTTAATAATGATGATAATGCGCTTAGAAAAGTTATTACAGGTGATGAATCATGGGTTTATGGTTATGATCCTGAAACAAAATAACAATCTTCACAGTGGAAGCATTCTGAATCGCCAAGACCAAAAAATGCACGTCAAAGTCGGAGCAATGTTAAGTCAATGTTGATTGTTTTTTTCGATTGTGAAGGTGTTGTACATCACGAATATGCACCAACAGGTCAACCAATCCATAAAGAATACTACATTCAAATTTTGAAACGTTTGCGTGATGCAGTAAGAAGAAAACGGCCGCACTTTTGGAAAAGTGGTGACTGGCTTCTTCATCACGATAATGCGCCAGCGCATTCATCCAATCTTGTGCAGCAGTTTTTGAGCAAACACAATATCGCATTGCTTCGACAACCTCCATACAGTCCAGACATAGCCTCTTGTAACTTTTGGCTGTTTCCAAAACTAAAACAACCACTCAAAGGACACTGATTCGATGACAAAACAACGGTTGAAAACAATGCGACAGGTGTACTTAAGGCTATCCCTAAAAATGAGTTCCAGGACTGTTTTGAAAAGTGGAAACATCGATGGAACCGTGTTATTCAATCAAGTGGGGATTACTTTGAAGGATGCCACCCACCAGATGATAAAGAATAACGCTAGAACGAAAATATAAAGGTAGGCCCGATACTTTCCGGACATACCTCGTACTAGGGATGTGCAACTGTATTCTATTAATGGAAGCATTCGATTATTTGAAGAGAAAAATCGATTATTTGTCGATTATTTTGAAGCTCGATTATAGTTGAATCGATTATTTTTTGGCTCATAATCGAATGAAACTATCTGTGGCGTGCGCATGCGTTTCATAAAGCCGCGAAGTAACATTTTTATTATTATGAAAAGTACTTTCTTTGATCGTTTTGCGTTTTGATCATTCGTAGAGATACTAAAAGATAGAAAGAAAACCTCCATAATCGATCATGGAAAATCCAGGGGAGCATGTGATTAATGTTGTTCATTATCATGGACATAAGTAATGGAATTATAACTGTTTTACTTATAATACATTAGATTGGGCCGAGTTAACCTCAAATCTTGAGTTTTTTCCAAATTAATGCGTTCGAAAATGAAATCGATACGTATTTATTTTTATGATTTGTATAGAAGCGACGGATCCCAGAAGATTTACGATTTATTTCCAACGTGATGGTGACAATCCCATTCGCATCAGTAACCTCAATGTTCGGGATTACTTGTTATTGAAAAACAATAATGCACAAGCCCATTATTATTGTACCATCCAATTTGCTCCTATGAGAATCGATCGACTTTGAAGATCGCTAGTCGATGTGGAGTAGTTAGTCTTTTTCATTTTTTTCACGATCAATAAATATAATCAATTTATCATACTAAAATTATTTATGTATTTACAGCATATTAATCTACGATTCCGAAGAAGATTGATCAAATAATCAGGAAATAAAAAAACTGTATAAAATTAAAATAAATAATATATATGTAGTGTCTAAACATATCGTTTTTATTATTTACAACACAAATCTCACATTTTTATATTTTCGACGTTTTAATTAACCCTCGTGTTGAGTGTTCAAACATGACTCTGCAGTTGAATTATTCCACGCATGCGCGGTCAACACGTTCTTTGGAGTCTTTCGAGTTTCGCTACTGAAATGTAAAATAAGCGCCTTTTTCTATCGCTCTTATCTTCATCAATCTCATCAATTATCATCACTATTTATTAATACGCTTCTCAACTCCTTTTTAATTCAAAATTCAAGATATTAATTGAAAAATGTCTGGTTTTTTTGGTGATCCAGGAGGACAACAAGAACAAGGTAAGATGATTATCACGGAAATTTTGTTTTGTGTTGTGAAAAGTGAGGTTAGGCATTCAAGATATTCTATATTTATAATGTTTTCATTTTGTAGAACCAAGAAGAATATCTATTTGGTTGAAGATTGATGACAATGCAATACAAAAAATTGACAATTTATCTACTGGCACTTACGCAAGAATGAGAAGTAACGTGAAATAAGTCAGCTTTGGTCTATTACATCGTAACATACATTTTTCGTTTACATTCAACTTTAGACTGATATAAGCTTATGGGAGGGACAAACTGCAAATTATATATAAAAGTATAAAAGTGCACAAATTTAGTTAAAATTCTGTAATTTGCAGATTCCAATGAAGGAGTCCTTGAATTCATCCGAGAAAATGGAATTTCTAATATGAATGAACAAATAAGGTGTGTCTATAAATCCCTGGATGGAGTACATTTTTATAAGGTCGCTGACTCCACTTCAAATAAAATCCTGCCTGACTGCATCTGTGATGAATGCATAGATCCACATGTTGTTAGATCTATGTCAGCAAATGGTAAAATACACAAATAATAGAATAATATGAATGAAATTAAAAAAAAAATCTTTCTATTGTAGCGAAGTACAACTTTTGGTTTAGACTCAATGATCACGATGACGAAATCGTGGAAGATTTGACCTACGATGACTACAAAAAATTGAAAAGTTAGCCAGATTATTCTTAAACTAGGGAATAAATTGAATTCTTTCTATAATTATTATTAGTCATTAAAACTAAATTTCTGTTTCAGATTACAATGAAGAGGCTGCAGCGTTCGTCAAAGACAATCTTCTGCATACCTTTGATCTACACGAAAAATCGTTGATTTGTTCCGATCTATTGATGGAATTGTTTTTCAGCAAATATTGGTGCCAAAAGAATCTTAAATTGAAGATGGAGGTTTGAAGAGCTTATTGGGCCTGATTTTAAATGTTTACGATGTTGTATATTGTAATTGATCTTTATGGTAGCTGAAGGTAATTGTTCATTTATTTTTATACTTAGATAATTCTGACAAGAGCTGTTACAAGGAACGTCTCCATGCATTCCGCTATAATGATGAAACTGTCAAATCAAATTCAGTTGACAGTTGTGATGATGCGTCATCACAAGAAAAATATACACTACCTGTGCTAGCCCCGCTTCGGCTAGAAAATGCGACCGAACAGCTACTGCCGCATGCACCCGCCCACGCACGTCCAGATCTCGCGACCTATGGTCCCCCGAAGTCTCCCTGACCGATGCGCACGATCCTTACGCCCGCGTACAACCCCTCGTGCACTACCGACCTGGTCCGACACTCCCCCAGGAAACTGAAAGCCCTTAAAGATTCCAGCCGCGATCAGCTGATCGCAAGCCCCCGTTAACTGAGGCAGATCTGGCTAGACTAGAGTAGGGGCAACCGAGCGCGTGAAAGCGAGCGAGACCGCCGATACGAGACCGATCGGATGCGAGTGAGAGGAATCGGCAAGACCAACGAGCAATAAATAAACAAGGATAGGCAAACGACGCTAACTGACCAGCCAATCGTTATCGGCTTAGGGGTAGTTAGACTAATAGAACGAAACCGACGCTATCTTCGTAGCCAGTAGGGAAATTAGGCGCCAAGGCTTGACCAATGAATAAATTACGCGCGTGAAAAATACCGATATAGACGGCGCTGACACCCGGCTTAGCAACAGGTTAACCAATCATTTAACTGCTATGGGGAAGTGAGTTAAGAGAAGCGGCGCGTCGCCGAAAAACGGCGCACCAGTACCCGCTGAACTCTGCTGCCGACCAGTGCGCCGCTGAGCCCTGGAGCCGACCAGGGAATTTCTGCGCGAGTGCAGCGAGTAAGAGTGAGAATTAGTGAGCATTAGTGAGCATTAGTGAGTATTAGCAGAGCATCAGCATTAGCATTAGCAGAGCATCAGCCTTAGCAGAGCATCAGCCTTAGCAGAGCACCAGCATTAGCATTAGCAGAGCATCAGCATTAGCATTAGCAGAGCATGTGTGCCGAGTTAGTGTCTCGTATATCGGTTTTGTCGGTCAATTTTCCCATTTTTCGCCCTTTTTTCCGCGAGTGTTAGTGGCTTTTCCTACTGCGTGTATA